TGCCACAAAAAGTTAGGTTACACTACTAGAAGATTCGTCACGTACGCACACAGGTGGCGCTAGTGTTCTTATATAAAAAAGCCAAGTGTCCAACCCTGACAAGTGTCCAACCCTGACACTATTTCCCTAGTAATTTTATTCAAAAATAAAAAATGTTTACGTCTTATTTTCCAAATATGGTATTTCTGTTCATAAAATAATTTGACATGCGGGTTGAGACACACCTTGTAATTGTGAAATGATTAAAAGAAAATAAATAACTACGTCATTTTTTTAAAAGTTTCTTATTTATTTATTTGTATTAAAGGTATTGAAGAATAAAAAAGTTTAAAAATTTATTAATTTTTGTCAGAATTGGCATCTCAGTCACAATTTTGTCTTAAAAATTTCTAATATCCTCGGAGCTTATAAAAAATTATTTAGTTTATTTGTCCCACAGTTTCTGCCAATTTATTCATATGTTTAGTAGAACCTATTGTCCTTTTTCATTTTTTTTTCTTACAATTACTAATATTTTATCTAAATATTCATTAGGGTTGATTTTGATCCTATTGGGATTGATAGTAATTGGAAAGTGCTCTTGAAAATTTGTAATGTCCTCGGAGCTTATAAAAAAATTTTAGTTTATTTGTTTCACCGTTACTGACAATTTATTAAAATATTTAGTGGAGGTTGATCGTTAAAGGTTGATTTTTATCCTTTTCGGGTTGATAGTAATTGAAATATATTCTACGAGATTTTTAGTATTTATGAAATTTACTAAAACTTTTAGTTTTAGAATAACTGCCAAGTTGTCTCAACATGCATACATCACTGTTATATTTTGATGACATGAAATTTTTTATTGGTGTTAAGATATGTTGAAAATTCTTTTGGAATGTTAAAATAGAACAAAAACTGATATGAAAATATTATATTCACTTTTTTCTATAACTATAAAATATACACTTTATTCATTGTAGAAAAATGATTTAAAACACTTCTATCTTAAAAATTTTTGTTGTGCTCTGTTTCGGACACATATAACACGAGTTACAGCTTTTGTCATAAATAAATAGTTTGCTACTAACGAAATAAAAATATGCCAATAGGCAATTTGGTATTATTAGTTATATAGAAAATAATATCTGACTGTCTCAACCATTTTATTTCAGATATGTTATCAGAAACAAATTATTTTTGAATAACAATTATCCCCCCCCTAATTTTATAAACAAATACATTCAATTTGTTAAATTTTTGATAAATAGAATTAATTTGAATAACAGTGTACATTTTTTTCCACCACTGTTTTTATGATACCAAAAAGACCTTGTTTAAAAAATTGGAAAAACGTTCGTCACGGTTATTGTGACTAGAGCATGAAAATTTGCAGTTCTCTAGTCGGTGCAGTGCAGAGGTTTTTAATGAATGGGCAAGAGAACAACGTGGAAAACTCTCTGATGGGTACATATTTGAAGCATCGTTCAAAAGCGGGAGATACAGAGTGGTGGTAGGCGTGACGTTGGGAAAAGGGAAGTGCGACATCACACAAAGATTTGTGGCTTCTGCCTACGACAGTTTTCGACGTCGTTCATTAAGGTATTAAACAATTTATTCACACCACACGTAGAAATTTGTAGAGTGTGTCGTTCAAAAAAAAAAAAAAAAAATGGAACTTATCATTGTTTTTCATAATTTAATTTTATCGTTTTTATTTTTAGAAAATTTTTTCAACATGAAATTCATGTTACACTATTTTAGATCACGCATTTTTTCACAATCAATTGACAATATTCAATGAGTTTAATATTGAATTTCTCGATCAAAATTTCAAACTGATCAGATGAATGTGGTGAATGTTCTGGAAATGATTTATGCAATTGATATATGTCAATGCATTGAAACTGATTTGTGAACTTGATGTATTAACTGTTTTGTTTGATTTTTTTCTCGATGAATTGTTTAAAATAGAGAATTTATTAAAAACTGTTGAATGTTATGTTTTTTGCGTTTGTAAAAAAGTGTATTTTAATTTGCATGAGTAAATAAAATGAAATAATTTTTTTTTTCAAGTATATCAATGAAATAAAACAGGGTGTCGATTATATAATTTGATTTGACGTCAAAATCAAATTCATTTTAACGTCAATATCAAATTTAATTCAATAAATTCATTGTTTTATTTAACTTAGACGTTAAATTAAAATTTAATTTTTTATTTCAATTTAACGTCGCATTCAAATTTATTTTTTGATAGCAATTTGACGTATTGGAATCAAAAAATAAATTTGTCTTTGACGTCAAAGTCAAATCAAATTACATAATCGACTCCCAGTTATTTTTCAAAGGAATAAAAAAAATTATGTATAAATAAATTTATAATTAAATGTTTTCGTATTTTTTTATAAAAAAATTAGATTTTCTAACTGTTGGAAAAATGTTAATTTTATTTTTAAAATAAAAAGAATAACGAGTACATAAAACATAACTATTTGTGGCCACCATTTTTGTGGACAGTTCACTTTTTTCAAGTAAATTGAATTGACGGAAAAAGTGCATGCTATTCACAATTGTAAGCACAGCATGGAAACAACTGAAATCAGTGGTTGGTACAATATTTTTGGGCTGCGGCTCGTAAACTTTGTCCCTCCAGGGTGTAGTTCAACTGAGTGAACTTGGCTTTTTTTCGCCACTAAATATTTTTCTTCAGCATGGAAAGGGGTTTGCAAGTCCGGATATCGTTCGTTTTGGCATCCGGCCAGATCTTTCTCTCGTGCGGTAATTTACGTTACTCACGCTTTCGCTGGCGAGAGTCAACTTTCGGTAATTTTCACGGGAAAGCTGGTCTCTCGTTATATTACTGGTCGCTTATAAAGTGTCACGATCTGCAGTGCCAGCGACTATCGAGGGATCGATTTCAGAATACACATCGCGCACTTCCCCAACATAAATACATACACGTAAAAGGAATGATTCAATGATCCATTTTAATTTATCTATTCTACTACATGCCAGTCTCAATTGCTTGAACTCAATTGTTCAAAAATATTTTGTATATATTTCATTTGACAATGTAGTGGAAATTATATTTTTATTCGATCGTTCGAAGAAATACTGGTCTATTATCGAAAATGTAATTATCACTAAAGGAAGTGTTACTTCGTAACAATTGGTGTAAAATATTTTAATAAAATTATAAATAAAAATTGATAATAATTTAATTTAAAAAATATTTTTCATTAAAGTGTAAACAAACCTTAGGAATTTGACAATAAATATTAGTTCTATTATTATTATTATTAACATTAAAAAATTTTTAATGGTTCAAACAAATCTTGATGTGTTTTTCTATATAAAATCTGAAGGATAGCTATTGTTACTTAAAATTGTTCTTATTTTTTTCAAGTTGTCAAAATGGAATTTTTTATTGGACAATGAAATCGCTCTGTCAAATAAATTGTACACAATGTTCTTTTTTTTATTGGATTGGATGATCTGAAAAATAATTGATAAGTCAGTCAGACGAAGTTGGTTTTTGATACCTGTTTATAATAATATGATTGTTTTCTCTCATAAGTTTTAAGTCTAGAAAATTATTTTTTTATTTTTCTACAGTAAATTGTAATTTTTTATTGTAGGAGTTAAAGGTTTCAATAACAAGGGTGACATATATTTATAGTTTATGAATGAATGCTAAACTCTGGATGACTAATTCACAAGAGACATTTGTAAACATGTAACTTACATCAAGTGATAAAAAAGTATAACTATCGTCAATAATAAAATTATTTAATTTATTTTTTAGTTCTAAACTATTATTAATATGTGAAAATGTTAAGCTTATACAAAATCTTTTTGAGAATTATACAGTATTTTTGCCAGAAAATGTGTAGAACTATTTATTAAAGATATAATTGGAGGAAGTGGAATATTTTCTTTATGTATTTTTGGGAGACCATATGCTTTAGCTAATTCAGTGTCTGTCAAAGTTAATTGATAGTAATTTTTATAAATAAATTCATTTTCATTTACGAAGCTGAAGTACGCAACGTTTATGATAAACAATTTTTAAAGAAATAATTTTTTAAAATGAAAAATGCTATTATTTTTTTGCCTAAAAAATATTTCTTGTAGTTTCCATTAATCAAAGTAAGGTTACACTAAAAACAAACGATATTTATTAAAAGTTCAATAAATTTATAAAGTGCTGAACAGGGGAGAGAGTTTAAGAAAATGAGGCGAGTAGCTTGTAGTCAGCAGAGTACTGACTCCGCCAGAAGGGCTTGTACATTTCGTACCCAAAAAGGGCAATGTTGCCGTGGTCGTTTATATAATTACTGAAAATGCATTTTCCGTAGAATCGGCAACACTGGTCGATGAATATTTCGAAATTATTTTACTTTATTATTTCAACTACAAAATGCTCAAATTCTAATGTTTGCGACAACCCGAATGTACTGACTTTTATTGCGGTCGCCTGGCGGCCTACCTGAGTGTAGCAGAGACCAAAGGTACATGATTTTCTTCAAACTACTGATATTGAAATTATATTTGACAGTGAATATTATATTTAGTAAAATATTTAAAAGGTGAATTGTTTAATAACAAATTAAATAATATTTATTACTTAGTGTGTTTATGTTAGCCGCTACAATCAATTATAAAAAAATATTTTTTAGGCAAAAAATTATAGAATTTTTCATTATAAAAAAATATTTCTTTAAAAATCGTTTATAATAAACATTGCGTACTTCAGCTTCGTTTTCATTTAAATATTTTCAAATATAAGGATAGGACTATATATATATATATATATATAATAATAATAAGGACTGTAATATTTTATTACAAACTGGAAGAAAAATCGTTTTTTAAAATTATTTTAGTTTGTTTTATTTTAAGAAAGTGAGAATTGGTTGATAAAACGATTAAATTCCTTCGTCAACATATAAAGGGGGAAAATCAAGTTTATGTTAGTTGTAAGTAAAATGTAATAGCGTTAAAACAAAGAAGCTCACCGAGTTGATGTAGTTTATGAGGGAGAGTCCTCCGTCCCATGGATGCTCGAGCTCACATGAGAGATTTGCTGGCCTGAGAGCATGAGACTGTTCAAGGGTTCTCAAACCCACAGCAAACACCTGAACACTGTCATACATCAATGCTGGCTCGGCCTGTATTAACAATGAAAAAAAGTTGATTATCTATTTTATTTGTTTTTGGTTCTTTTACATTAGTTTCAGTAATGTTGATTAAAATAAAATTTTACAAAGTTTTTATTACAGATTTAATCATTTATTGTAGTCATATAATTTTATTTATTAACAACGTTTCAATACAATAAATTTTGTGTAATGGGTCGAGACGTATCTCCGATGGTTCTCAACCGATTTTCTAATTTCTAAATTTTCTAAATGAATATTTGTAAAAACTGTGACTATTAATAAGAATGGAAACTCCTATCAGTCGATAAAAAATGTTCGCCGATGAAAGCGCTCAATGTTGATTGGCTGAGATAATTCTATTATTGGAAGTGGCGCGTAACTCATTCAAATTTAAAATTTTTAATGACCAAAATTATAGTTTTTGTTTATAATTCAATTTCATTAAAATAAAATTTTGTGAAATTTCTAAAATTTTATTTAAACTGAAGAAAGTTTAAAATTCTAAAAAATTAAAAAATTTTGATAAAAAAATAAATTTTTTTTTATTTATTTTATTAATTATGAAAAAAAATTCTTTTTGAAAATTTTAATCTTTAGTTCTAGCTAATAAACCATATATATATATATACTTTTTTCAGTTAAGAGTTACATCTTTTTTTCAGTCTTGATTTATGTAACTAGTATAACGCTTTTATACACCTCTTGGCTCGGCAGAAACTTTTCAAGAAGATAATGGTACTTTCAACGCCGGCGAATCCTGAAAGTCGCTTTCCATTCATCGAGTACTTTCTTTTCGCAGGACATACTTTTGCAAATCTTTTTTAAACCGAAAAATACATTCACAGTATCCAGTAGTGTGGTCCATTCGTAACTCATTTCTTCACTTGACGACAACAGCGAGAAAAGGTGACTCTCTCGGAAGATATTTGCTTTCATGCATAAAGTTAAGCAAAAGCATTTTCCGTGAATTTCCACTTTCTTAGACAGCAACGAAGTGGCAAATATATATATATACGTATATACATGTTTCGTTTTTTGTTTGCTTTTTGTATAACCAGCATATACATACAAAGCACATTTATTTCTTTAGTTCAATCTACCTCGAACATTGCTTTTATTTTTCTATTTTCTGATAAAATTTTTTTTTAACAAACTAGAAAAAAGGTACGTTAATTTAATGTAATATTTAAAAATTAGAAATAATAAGTCAATTAATAAGAATGTGAGGTAAAATAGTAATAAAATAATTACTATTGGAGACAAAACTTTCACAGGAATATATCGTTGGAACTAAGCTTATAGCACTCTGATTCGAAGTTTAGAAGCCAGCTTATGTAGTGTAACTCAGCCAACTTTAACATTGACTTGTTGGGAGGTAAATAAATATTTATTCACCAAAGTATATCACACACCCTTTGGAATGACATTCGTGTCTAAATTAAACATTAAATTTTATCAAATTGGGAAATTAATTAAAGGAAGACTAAAATAAGTGAACGGAGACAAAATCAGGAGAATTATAATTGAGATTAATTATATACAAAATTCAATTAACAGTTTCTCAATCAATAAACAAAAATAAATGAAAATAATTTCTAAATTTTATAACCTTATATTTCATTAATTAATAAACTCAAATAAGCAACTTTTCCAATTAAATAATACAAAAGTTTATCTTAATGTATTGTACAATTATTTTATTTCACTATTCTATAATTATTTGTCTTTTCAATAATTCTTTTTTGAAAAATTAATTCGAGTGTGTTGTTTCTGAACCAATGGAAAAAAATCTAAAGTTAAAACATTTTTGTCGATGCTTTGTTTGATTTATTTTGAAAATTTTACTAGTCTCAAATATATACTATATGCAATCCATTCATGCTTGTGTATTGTTTGTATTTCAAGCTGAATATATAATTCCATTTAAAAAATTCCATTAAAAGTTTACATTTTATCATCAGAAAGCTCAACTTGAAATTATTCAAACGCCGTAAAAAAAAAAATTTTTTATTATTCGACATCAATAGTAGGTATACACGAGAGAGAAAGAGAAAGATCATATATTTTTTTTTGGTGGAAAAGTTTATTAAAACATTCAGCAACATGACATCTCGTTTATTTCTATCCCTTGAACTGTCACCATCTGTCTTTTATCTGTCAACTTATTTAAATTGAGTAAAATGCTCTTTTTAAAAAAATATTTTTTCTCAACACAGATCTAAAATTCTATATGTCATTATCGCATTTCATCTTTTCAAGAAAAGTAAACATTTTTTTTTGCGCTCTACTTCTTTTTTCCCCAACTTTGAAGATTAAAGTTCGCATTTAATTTACCGCAGAATATTTTATTCTCTGCGTTTATTTTAATAATTTGTTTATATCTACATTAGCATAGAGAAAAAATATATAATTAGCATTATATATGCTGTGGTGTTCCACTATTTCGAATTTGAAAGGTGATAATGACAACACAATAATAATATGTAATACAATCATTTTTTAAAATAATTAAATTATCATAATAGTAGGGGAGCCCATGATCCTAATGGGGATTTACTCGAGCTTCGTCGGGACGATGATATTTTGTAGTTTAGATGATAAAGAAAATAAAAGGTTCTATAAAGTTTTACCATTCAGTGGTGCGTTATGCGTATAGAAATTTTAAAAAATGTAAAAAAAACAATTACATGGAAATACTTGAGCGTGTCAGATATTAATAGTTTTGATACTCCAACGTGTCTCTGATACCAAAGGTATATTCATCTGTCGGTTTGCTTGGTGCTAGTGGCAATCCGCTTGGATTCAAAATAGAAAAAAAACTGTTCGAGCACGTCAGATATTAAGGGCGGATGTTAAATGAACCCTAAAAATACTCCCATTCAAAAGACTGACGTTTCGGAAGTGACGCAAGCTCTTAGCAAATTTTTGGAAAATGCAAAAAAAATCGCCATCTTGATACTCGAGCGTGTCAGAATTTTTTACAGATGGTTTAGCTTGATGCTGCAGTCATGATAGACCAAAAACTGACGATTATTTTGAAGAATATTGTTAATTTGACAGCTGTCTTGTGATCAGCTGTAATGGTGTCATGGCGACGGAGAGCACTGTCAGGAATCGGAATTGTGCGAGAGTCAGAAATAGGGAAAAATTGAAAAAGGTGTGGCACGGAGTGGGGAATGCATGTTGTACTCTAGTTGTGCGCTTTACTCTCCATAGACAATTTTCATTATTTTGCCGTTTGGAAATCGTCAGATTATATTTTATTCGTGATTCTTGTGTTATTCCCTTCAAATTAAAAAAAATTTAACCGCGCTCCGGAACGTCAAGACAAGGTTTTTTTTGTTTTGTAACCCTCTAGCTCCCTTACGTTACGCTCAAATCGTCAGATTTTCTAAATGTACATTTTTTAGCTAGTAATTAACCCACCTTACCTTAATCTGACACGCTTCAATATCTCCAACCATCAATTTTTTTACTAATCTGATGAACCATCCTAGACGCACGTTTTAACGAAAAGAGAATACTTGGAAGAGGTACTCAACAACATGCAAGGTATCCCCCCCCTGTGTTCGTCTCAGACGCTCCAGTTAATCCCAAAAAACACATTGGGCTCCCCTACTATAATGATAAACCAACTTGCCAAAATCGTCAGATATTCAAGATCACCAAGAAAGGGAAAAAAATGCTGTTTTTTTTGGAAATCTGTCAAAATACTACTAGCAGCCATTTTCCTATAAACTTCTCACATCAATCAATTCAACATCGGATAGTTCAGAAATCTGCCTTACCGACGGCCACGTATCGATTATCGATTGCGGATATTGTATTGAATATTAATCTAAATGACACCGAGAAGAGAGGCCGCTGATTTGTGACGCTGTCGACTTTGACACATCAGCCATTTTTAATCTCATTCTCATCCTAGTGTTCGTCAAGTTGTTTTCTATTTATTTAATTCAAAAGGTGAGTCCCAATTATTATTTATGACTCGTTTTTCTTCTGAATCGATCTCATTATTATAAAAAATATAAATTCCAAAATAAAATAAAATTTGAATCTTTTTATTGGTCTTTCTGACAATTTTTGACCTTTTTCTAAATTTGAAAGTGAATATGAATAAATAGTGTAATTGTTATTAAATTTAGTGTAATTAATTATGTTTACCCTGAGATGGGTTTTTCCTATGTAAAATTATAAGCTTTTACTTTGCTGGGTAATTTAATTATTTTTTGCTTTAGTTATTTTACATAAAATAACTTGGCGTCTGGAAATATTAAAATTAATACATAAATAGAAATAACGTGTTTTGATTGAAAAAAATTAAATTAACCCCCAAATCATACGTTATAACATATATATGAGGCAAAATTCCTGAAATGTCCGAACAAAAAATTAAAAGTTCTCGAATTTAATCCATACTTTTCTAAACTGTTGTTATTGTTGGTGAAAGTCTAAAAATCAATTATTATTGAATTTAATAAAATAGTTTTTGAATTACAACGTTTTTAATTTTTGACTTTTGAAAAAAAAAATTTTTTTCAATATACAATATTTATAAGTAGAATGCATAAAAGTTAACATATATATAATGATTTTTAAAGCTTTTTTGACGGGCTACACGCTATTAATAAAATTTTTTTTTTTTAAATAACATTTGACCTTGAAATTCAAGGTCAAAATGTTAATTTACGTTTATCTCAAAATCGGATTTTTTAAAATTATTTTTAACTATCTCAATGGAAAGCTTGACTAATTTCCTACAAAACATGTAATTTTCAGAGTGGGATCTTTTAAAGTTTTTGAGATATTAATTAATTAATTAATTAATGTTTATAACAAATGGAATATTTTACAAACGAATAAAGTTACCGTAATTCTGAAGTTAGTAATTGAAAGTTAACGTAATTCCGCATCCAACGATCCCTATATGAAGTATTTTGGATGAGTAGATTGTTAATGAACAATTAGTTAACATTGCAATTGTTTATTAACAATCTACTCATCCAAAA